AACAGTTCCAACAAGTAACTTTTCTTAAGCTACAAATTGTTATTTACAACTGTGTTGTGTACCAGTTACCAAGTATCACCACAACAATACAATGCGTGAGCTTTGTCTTTTAAACTGGATGGTACCAGCCCAACTCACCTCGACTCTGCTCGCCTTTTTTGGTTTTCCATTGGGCAAATCTGGTACCTGGTAGGTTTTTTAGTATCACCTCTGTCGAGGTTACAAGCGAGCTGGAGAGATACCAAAGGTGACGTGAAAACATGCAGACTAGTGATTAGTCAGAGAGAACCCACAACAAATCCCTGTCAGAAATAACCTACCTAGCAGCTGGGTGCAGCTAGTCCTGCGGGTGTTTACAGCTGTGCCTGCTGCTAGCTCAGTTTAAGAGCTCAGATTGTTTTTAGTTCAGGATTCCTTCGATGACAGGGCACCAAAAGCAAGTCGAGGCGAGATGAGGCGAGGTGTGATGAGCTGGTACCAGCAATGGACAGTGGCATTAGACGTGTTGGCAGGCATAATTTTGGGCTAACCACATCCTGACTACAGTTCCGAAGGTCACAGTGAAATGGCAGTTACACCATCTTTAGCTTGTGGGTGGGGTTTAGTCACAAGCAGGATTTAAATCCAATCTTTAATTTTGTTTGAACTGCTCAAAAGTGGGAGTAGGTTAGCAAATATAGCACAACACAGAGCTATAAGACATAAGGAGCCATAGAGGACTGTTGGCTTCCATCCACCAATGGTCAATGAGCCAATGGTCATGTGCTGTTTTCTACAATGAGCAGGTTAGTTGGTCGCTCAAAATTACATTTGACTGGATTAATTCATTTTAAATAAAATTTAAAAAAATCCGATGAAAGTTCCAATGTTTTGTGGCATTTTTTTGCTCTAAAATTGTGGGAATAGGTGAAAACTGCAAAGATAGATTCGATTTTTTTTAACTTCAGAATTATAGTTGAATCATTAAACTGTCCCTCCAAGATTTCACGGGCCTAACCCTAACCCCCGTTTTTATAAAGAAGATCTGGATCCTGTTTTTCACTGCCCTTTTTTTTTGTCAGCGAATGTGAGACAATGGTATCACACATGTCTGCTGCGATGTCACAAGCTGACAGCGATGATAGGTCAAATTTGTGGAAAAGCTGCGGTGATAGGTCACGCTGAATTCACAGGGATTTTATGAATTTATGTTAATAGTCCTAGAGGGACTGATTTAGCATATAAGAAGAGATAAGCAAACAATGAACACAGGGACAACTTCAAAAACACAGATATGAGATCCTCTCATTTCTCTCTCAGAAAGAACGCAAGTAAGCACATTTCCCAGAATGCAGAATCATTCATTTAACTTATTTTATTCATGATATGGAGAGTACATGAAACTACATTAAATAATAAACATTTGGTCATATGTGTGTATTATTTGGAACAAAATAAACATGTGTGGGTACAGCAGCATTATTTTTGTCTGCAGGGTGGAGACCCCTCCCCAGATTATGAGTCTTACCTTCTGATTAAAAGGCCACTTGAGGAGCGCGTCACTATGTCCTCTCATCACCACAAAAAACAGAGACAAGTGGGTGCCACGGCCAGTCCCATCTCCATTCAGGTAGATCCGCAGGCACATCTTGTAGCCGTATTTACTGGTATAAAAGGCTGGAAAACATAAGGCACCAATAAAGTGTAATGATGTCTGTTATTCACTGCAAGATGTGGAAATCCTTTATCACACAGACGCCTCATCATTGTCTGGATTATAACTCAGATGTTAGTCATCATATGAAGTTGTTACCAGGAGAGAACATAGCAGGGGCACGGCCGGCCACGGCATCCTGCCTCTTCTTAGTGAAATCCGAGATCTTCCAGACAAAGATGCCGTCGTATGTGGCTGCAGACATCTCCCTCATTTTTCCATCCATCTCCACGATGGACAGGTCCCTCAGACTCACTGTCCTCTCTAGCTGACGAACCTGCAGCACAGAAACACATGAAAAAGATAGTTTACTTAACATGCGTTTTTCCTTTTGTGGATGAAGTCGTCCTTTCTAATTCTCTTTTAATTTCTGGTGCTTTGTCAAACTAATTTCCTTTCAAGATTTCAACTTAGAGGAAATCACAGCTAGACTGCAGAAGGCACGTCACCTTGTTGGTGAGGATCTCGATCTTGTCCTGGTCCAGTCGGTGTTGGCGGTTGTAAGCCTCCATGGTGGTGCAGGAGCGCTCCATCTCTCGGTTGAGTACACAGACGATGTTCTCGAACGTGCTAACTTTGAGCTCCAGCTCCTGGCAACGCCGGCTCAGCTCGGCCACCTTGGTTTTTTCGCTCTGGAGCTGCAGCTCCAGGGCAGCACCCATGGAGCTGGGCAGCGGTGTGAAGGAAGTGGCCAGTGTCGGGGCACATGCACCCTGCACGGGAGCTGCAACACCTCCCCCCAGCTGGCTCATCTTCAGCTCCAGGTCCCTGAGGGACTGGTGGAGCTCCTGCAATTTGTGGCTGGCCACATCCAGACTCTGGGGCTGCAGGCTCTCCAAGCTCACCTTGATGCCCATGATGAAATGCAGGAGTAGATTGAGGTGTTCATAGGAACACTGCCGCTCATGGTCATGGATCTTCTCTTTCTCCACCTTTGTGTCAAAGAAAGACACAAGCAGAAACACACACAAAAAAAAAGTCATCATCCACATTTTTAACTTTAGAATTATAATTGAATCAGTAAAAAGTCCCTCCAGGATTAAGAGTCCTCATCCATTACATGCTAACAGAAATTCAATTTTAACGATGTTTGTGAAATTCTGCCACAAAAGAAGAAAATAGTAGAAGCATACAGCAAAGAAATAATGGAGCCAATATGGAAATGTACACTATACAAATTATTCATGCATGCAATTCTTCATGCTTTATTGCTTAACTATATTAAACAGAAAAATATGCTTTGACATCAAAGTTCACAGCATTTACTATGACATTTTTTTGGAAGCCGCATATGAGTGTGCGTTTAATATTTGGTTAAATACACCTGTATCTGGATGGTTCAACAGCTGATTAGTCAGTTTCCAGTCAAAAAATAAAGGGTGAAGACAAAAACTCATTCCAAACTAATCCAAAATAATGACGGATGAAAAGGACCATTCAGGGGAAGGCTCCAATTAAATGTCCAGGGCATCCCTATAGTAAGGTCAATCATAAAAACAACTGAAACAATGTGGTACAGCTGTATTTTTGTCTCAAGAAGGTTTTCCTTGAAAAGGGAGTGTTGTGAAACGGGCTCTAGTGAGGGAGGCCACTAAGGGCTAGGGTATACCTGAAAAGAACTAGTTTGTAAGGCATGATGTGTAGATGAATATTAGTACATAAATCTGTTCAAATCCGCTTTTGCCCCGGCAAGTACTGGTTATGTCAGATAACATTGCTGACTGAGACATTACTGAATGCAGGTTTTTAAGTACCATATTAAAACTTACATAATGGCCACTCGTCTGTCTTTTACATTATGATCATATTTCATCATAGTTTTTTAAGGTGCTTTTCATTTAATTTTGGCCTAGTTTTTTGTTGTGTAGAGTTCATTCTTGACCTTGGAAACAGTAGTTTGATCAAAATAAGCTTAACCAACCTCTGTAGCCCGCACCTCATCTCTGCTTAAGGCTAGCAGCTCAAGGTTACATTAGCCAGTACTAGAATAACATTGTTGATATTGTAGGCGCCAGGTTTTGACAAGGATGAAGAATGCATGGGATAAAAAAGACAATATGTTTGTTTTTTTTTTTATATAAATTGTCCATCGAGAGTCCAACAATGTTTTAGGAGTGCAACGCCAAATTGGTAAAGTCCTCTTTTAAGGCAAACAAAAGTGCTTCACTGAATACTGATATAAACACGCAAACATTGCTATTAAATTTATGTTCATATTTTTACTTCACAAATGGAACTAACTTTCACTCTGTTGATCAGTATAAGACAGCCTTAACACACCCACCCTATTACTAGTTTATAACAACACATGAAAAAATCCAAGTTAGGCTTGTATACTTCATACAGGCACTGTGCATATACACACAGGCTTCATACTCAACACAGGATCAATTTACAGGATGTGGCAACAAATTCTGTAATAACTGTTGAATAATCTAATATCTTGGGAAACAAAGGAAGACTTATTTTCTGAAAATATTTTAGTTAGATATACTGGACAAATTTTATTTGTTAAATCAGTCTAAAAATGTATAGTCAATTTATAAACTATCAACTTGTTGAATTTTTCCAAGCTATTACATGATCCAGTTATTACATTAGCCATTGTTACACATATAGCAAATTATGACAAAAATGTCTACTTACAGACGTATCGCAGCCAACAACATGAAATCTGCATGGTGCTTTAAACTTACTGCAGAACTTAATATGGTCCACATACTGCAAAACAAATAAAACGAAAGAAGCAAATGATCTATAGAATACGTTGTAGAATTGATCCCTAGCTAAATGGTAAATGAGATCAACAGCTCAAACAGAATTATTGAAAACTCACAACAAATATCTGGGATACCTTTTCTCTGGGGATCTTTTTCTTTGCACAACCTTCACAAATCATCGGGTACTTTGGACAGATTTCATCATGAGCCTAAAAAAAAAATTAAGTAAAGTTAGTTCCCAATAACAGAATTATATACACAAATTATAAATATAAGGGATTTAACAAATCAGAGGCAGCTTGTTTTTTGAGAGCTATTTTACAAAATATACAGGCGTTGAGGCATAAAGTTAGCAAAAGAGGTTTTGCTTGGAAACTAATCTGAACTCTCACTAGAAAAACTCAGTTTCACCAGTTTAACAGTTTTGAATTTTAATGTTCAAACTGAATATTGTATGCTGAATTTGAAATTTATCACAGCCTGAAATTTGGAATGTATATAGGGACAAAGCTGCATGGTGATTTTGCATTGTAAATAAAATTTGATTTGATTTGAATTTTAGTAGTAGTACTTACAAATTCATTTCGGAATTCAGTTTTCAATTCAGAAGCATACATCTGGGGGAGCTACACACTGCAGTGATCTTGGTTTACATGTGTCACCAGACCTAAGTAAAGCTTTATTTTTAGCATTTGAACTACAAAAAAACTCCTGTCACTGGAAGCCCGCTGACATGGCTATGAATTGGGCACTGCACTTATCAAATGTGAAATGTGGAAAAGATCTGACCGTAAAAGTCTTTAGATTCAACTGCGCAAGTCAATCTGAATAAATCTTTAGGATTAGTTTGTAAAGTACGGATCCTGTAAATGTCAAAAAAAGCAGTTTTCAAGCATCTCTAACTGCTTGAAGGTTAAAAAGTCATTTGTGGGCACTATAGAGCTGACGTGCCAACACACAAGCCCAAATGTGACATCAAATCAAAAGATTTACCAGTTTAAATACAGGTGCAAAGGTTTGTGTTTAACATGTATAAAAAGTTGGGGGCGTTAGGTTCCTGACACTGCAAATGCTCAGTTCAAAGTACATTGATACAAAGTGCTAATACACCTGTGAGGTGTGAGGTGCAGCAGGTCTTCTGTCAGCCATGGGAGATACTACTAGTCAGCCGCCCCCCATGGCCTACATACCCAGAAAGACTTGTGGTCCGAAGAACTCCTTTGAAAGGAGTTGGATTGAATCGGAGCCCTTCTATTCTAATATAGAGTCCCCCGGATGAGTGCCTCTGAACTGAAACAGAATTTGAAAACTGAATTCCTGAATTCTGGCACTAAAATAACTAACATAACTCTAATAAGTAGTTTTTGACCATATCTCATCTACTTCCTCAGAGAATGGAACCTGCTCAGGTGTCATCACATTACCTACGGCAAAGGTTTTTAAAGTCTGACATTCAGTGCTCCCATGCTGGGCTCCCACAGTCTTATGAATGTCAAAACATTGTATTGATATTACAACATGAAAAAAGTTAATTTCAGCGGACTTTGTAACTCCTATTATTATTCTTTGTCTTACTTCTATTTGGGGAAGGTCTACTCTAAATTTGGGAACTGCAGTTCCTATTTTTTGGGGGATGTAAACAGGAAGTATACTTTTATAGCCTATATTTGTTTACATTTTGGAGTTGTAAGGAACTGCTGGCATGCTTTTAAGGGGCTAAATCAGCAACCAAACTACAATGACTAACTTCCTGTTATTTTTAGAACACCGGCATGAACCGGTCCCTCTTACCTCACACTGTATCTTCGCCTCACCTGCCTCCGTAACCCTAACCCTAGGGATGGTCTTGAGACATTGTTGAATTCTCTGGGAAAGCTAATACCTGAACCTCATCTCGCAGTATAAAATGGTATTTGCTGGGTTTACCTCTGCAAAGAAAATGATTATTAACCACTGGTTTTCCCCTGATGTATGTATGAAATCGTTCTGGGTCCACAGTCTTGTTAACATTGTCAATCTGGAACATACTACTGCACGACTCAACAAGGCTCGGCCAGCAACTGTAGAAGCCTGGAAAAACTTTTCATCTAATCTTGTTTTTTGGAAAAGAGTTAATAGCTGAAGGGCTCTATTGTACACCTGCCGAATTACTTCACGATGATATAACTGTTATATATCCCCTTGTGATGTAAGGTATTTTCATTATACCACTGCTATAATAGATGTCCTTGTTCTTGTACATGTCTGTATCCCCCCCCTCCATACTAATAAAAATGTTGATCACAAAAAAAATACCTGAACCTCGAGTTTAGAATAATTAATCTAATCACAGACATTTAATAACATACATTGATCATAACATAATCTATATGCCTAGACCAAATAGGCCTGCAGGTGTCATGTTACAATACAACAACTCCTCCCTAAATAAAGCCATATAGCAGCATAATACTTGACCAGTGTTTGATTATAATAATACAGGGAACCCTAACCTTGATGTTCTTTAACAGGAAAGGTTCTTTGCAGTATTTGCAGTTGAGCGTCCTCTCTGGACATTCTCTCTCGTTGTGGCGCTCCTGTTCATTGGCTCTCATCAGCTCTTTACAGGAAGGACACAGGATGATCATGAAGTCACAGTTGCCCTCATGGCTGGCCTGCAGGTGACCAACAATACAGTTTTCAACATTTTGACATAATGTTCAATTAGTGTTAGATGAACTTGGGTGTACCTTTCACTTGATGATGTCAGTGATTGCAGACTGCCACCAGGTGGTGTGTGTATATAAAAAGATTTATCTGACAAGTAAGTTAAACTTGCCTGAAGAAGAAGGAAACAAAGAAGGAAGAACACAGAAATGTGTAAGAATTGCACATTGGTGATATTAGAAAATAAGAAATGAAGTTTTTTCATAATTCAGAGGGGTCAACTGTTTTTTTCGTTGCCGTCTTGTTTTAACACATTTAATAGAAAAAACAATGTGTTTAAAAGAGGAGAAATACAGATACTGTATAAATAAGGTCTCCAATACACCTGCCCATGTGACTCGGACATTATGTAATGTGTGTATTTATGATAACGCACTGTATTGCATCCAGTTGTTTATTATGACAAACATATGGTTTCAATTAGGGTACTCTTAAATTCTTATGTTTTGCCTCTTTCAGCATCTAATTGTGAAGTTGTGAGTTGTATGAACTTTTTTTGTTTTGATTTGTTAATAAATGTTTTATTTATTCAAATGTATTTGTTTACAGTTTGGTACATTTGGCACAATCCCATTTTTGTATTTTATTGTGGGGGCAATTAATTCAGCTGTCATTTAGACCAAAAACAGACCTGCATTAAAAAAAAAAAATCCATCCATTCATCCTGGCGCTGGGCCTGGATCAGTATGAGAGAGTGTCAGAGCGATAACAACAAATTTAACACACCTGCTCCCCATTCACACCGGAGAAAGCCCAAATCAAGTAATTTGATCCTTAAGATTTTAGTCCTGGTTAATTTAGCGACATAGACGGTTACCATGGTAACAGCAAGTGCGATTTAATACTATAGCAAACACTCTTTAAGCAGCTATTTTGCGTGATAAAGAACAGCAGAGCAGCTGGTGTATCTGTTGCAACCAAACAAAGTCAATAATCATCCTTTTTCCATCATGCAATGAGCGACCATAATCTGATTTCTTGCTGTGCCCAACAGCAGGGCACAGTAAAGTTGGTCACCTTGCTGAGGAGTTGGAGATGTGCAGCCTATCACCTGCCTCTCTTTATCTGACCACTCACTGTGGCTGCTCCTGATTGTCCCATCCCCCCAGCCTACATTGCATTAGTGTGCACCTCAAATTCTTTGATAGTTCCCGTCCACATGCATCCTTCATTGGGACAGACAGCTGCCAAGGCCTCCACTTCTCTCCGAGCTGCATTGTCCGGAAAAGCCTGCATGGAGAAGCCGAGGTTGTTGTCAGTTGTGATCTGGTTTGTGTCTTCAGTTACAGTCTTAAGGGCAGTGTTACAAACACTCTGCATCAGCTTACTGCGGATCAGGATGCTTGGAGCTCACTCATTGTCTCTTGGCTGTAATTTCTCCAGCCCATATGGTCATTCAAGGGACACAGGACTATAGTTGCTCCATCTATTGTCTACACCGCCAAGAATTATAAAGCTGTTACAAAGTTTTTGCTGTTTTGGCTCTGTACTCCAGCACAATGGATCAAAAAAACAACAACTATGATGTTACAGTGTTGATTCTCAGGACTATTTTGAGGGTTTTTACATCAATAGCCTGCATCCTCAAAATACTAAACTTGGCTGTAGTCTACGCCTAACAACAAGCTCTCCATTATATTAACAAACTAGGGAACTTAAGTTCATACGTATGCTGTATTTAATATAAGCATGAAAAAATGGGAAAAAAGATGCAATGTAGGAGAAAAATTTTTACTTACACCACCTTGCTTGAGAATGGAGGTAGGTTCCTCAAACAAGTCCTCTTTGATGCAAGCACTACATTTCTGTGGTCCAGAACTTGATGAAAGAAAAAACAAATTTTTACATTAGCATGGATACAGTGCCAATACCATCTACCATGTGTCAGACAACATAGATACTTCATTTTACCATCACTATTATCCCAGTGTGGTTAAAGTCAGTTAAGTTCAAGTTTAACCCTGGGATCAGTGAGCGTGACAATAAAATCTCAACTCAAGGTTTTGTTTGACCTTGTCTGACCCTACATCGCATGGTCTTCAAGTTAACTCCAGACCAAAATCGGGCACAGCTCAATTTGCTGATGAAGCCCATGAGATGCGGTTGAAAGCTCAAAAAAAGCTGGTAAGTGGACCTTGAGTTGAGATGATTTTCACACATATATATGCTGAAGTGATTAGTTGATGAATCAACAATTATTTTGATCAAGTATTTTTTTTTATTATTAGTCAGTTTCGTCATTTATTAAGCAAAATTGACTCACTGGTTTCAGCACCTCAAATGTAAAGACTTCCTGTTTTTCTCTGTTTTATATCATTCTGGGGTTATGTTGGGATACATCTGAATGACAATTCAGCTGGGGGAAAATGTTATGGCCATTTTTCACAAATTTCTAAATTTTCACAACCAAATCAATTACCAAATTAATTGAGAACGATATTGTTAGATTATAGTGGCTATATGTAGTTTTTCAATGAAATTAAGTATTAATAAATCACTTTTTTACTTCCTTTTTGACAATGGGCTGTAGCCTCACTTACAAATGAACCACAAGTCTGTTTTCTCTTTTGCTTGGAACAGCCACTATTCTGCTTTTAATGTGAAGGTATCGGGTCGGGATAGCCCTGTGCACGACAACACTGCAGCAACAAAATTCAGTCCACTAACACTATAAAACAACCAGCTCCCACCACAAAACAGACTCCAACATAAACTCCACCCAAGGATACAAAACAACAATAAAGGTTTATGTGCTGGAGCCCCTCAGGCCAAACGAGAATCAGTTTATGTTGGGTGAAAGCCAACAACAAGCTCACCGGCTATTATGTCAAACTGTTGATTTTAGCTGGCAAGAAATGATGCAACATTACAAAGCAAATGTGGAGCGATTTGTTTACACCAGCCTGTAGTAATGCAAGGCATGGGCAGCCAACTATTTTAGCATTGATCCACCGCTGTTTGCTTTGTAACGTTCAATTTAGATTTATTGTGGTTTTACAGAAACTCGGGTACACAGCTTCTTCAATGTCTCAATTGCTATAACTTACATGACTCTCATAATATACAATAGAGAAACATAACGCACAGGACAACAACAAAGTGAAGGAACTAACATTATTTACTACAGTAACCTTACTTACTGAGGTCTAACAGTTATAAAGTGTGGCAACAATCTCATTTGTAATATTCAGTCCAGCTCACTAACCATTTTCGCTATCATCTAAAACATGTAGCTGTTCTCACATTGCTGAGCCTCTGGTGAAAGATACACAGATAGTAATGTTAGTTACCGAAAAGCAGACAGGAGAGCTAACGCCGATGTGTCACGTCAGCTAAGTGCAGTAAATGTACCATTATCATGTAACCAGCATGGATTAGTTCAACCTGCATATGATAAAAATATTACTGTAACGTTGCAGTGGGAGTTTACCTGAGTTTCCAGCATGTTGTGTGAAGCTGTCTCCCGGTGTGTCTATATATCCGCTTTCACACTGCCTTATTAAATCACACCGCTAGTGGCCGTTTTAAACTACATATTGCCCCTTTAATCAAAAAAGATAATAAAAGATAATAAAATAATTATTTGTTGCAGCCTACACACATAATATAGTCTGGTTTTTCATTTTATTGAAAAAAATACTTTAGATGATGAGGCACTAACTTTATTACTTAAATTTGTTAAAGCCCCAAGTTGTTCTATTGTAGCAAATGCTGTTGCCATTTACACACACAAGAAACCTGATAACTTGAGAAATGCCATAATATAACAACATGTTTGCATTAGTTGCAATACTCAGATTACTGTGTAAACCCCATTTTACAGGCAGTTGGTAAGCAATTAATTATCTATTATCTACTATGATTCAGTTGTAATTATATAGAGTCAGAAAATCTAATGGTTCACAGATTTTGTTGTAACGTTTTCTTGTAGGTTTTTTGCTTACAACAATTTCAGACAGGAATATCCTGCTGTGGCAGTAATTATCATCATACAATTAATTAAAATAAATGCGTTTCCATCATACAAGAAAGCGCTGTTAATACAAATAGTGAAAAAAATATATATGTATGTATATATTATTGTATCATAAAAGAAATACAGTCATATTGTCGTCCCTACTTCTTTCATTCTTATACACAAAAACTATTGCAAAATACTCGTAGTAGTTACAGGGATTAGATAGACCCTTGCTAAAATCAGACCAACAAATAACCAGTTTAATGTTGGTTCGCTTATCGACAAAGATACACACTGAGTGGAATATATTGTACTGTATTTAAAAGTTGCCGAACGTTCAAGTACATTCGGCATGAATCCTGACCTGATATTACTTTAATACAATACACTGTCAAGTTCATCTCTTCGACACTGATTGCTACATAACTTAACTAACGTTAATGTTAGACTACGTTAGGACACCTGACCAACCCATTACACAAACTGAGATTTAATTGGGATCAAGTGGTGATTGGTGAATTACCTGTAACGTTACGCCGAATTTTTCAGTGGGTTTTTGCAATCTATATCGTAACGTACGTTTATATTCGTATATTGCGTTACCAGTGACAATAAGCACGGCAGTGTTAAACAGAAAGATATTTGAAGGAGGGTTGGTGACAAGCTGTGATTGCTCGTATTTGCTAACTGTGACACATCTAGCTAGCTAACGTTAGCTCGCTAGCAACCATGACACACTCACCTCACAATTTTGTTGAAACAGAACGAACAAAAGCGGTGACCACATTGAGCTTGCAAAGGCCTTCTCAAGATTTTATGACAAGAATTGCACAAATGCTTGTCTTCGTGGTTGTTGGCCAAAATTTTCTTTGGGAAGCCCGGTTTGTTGCCTTCCAGGGAAGACGGTGGAGACGGCTCCTGTGCAGCCATTATTATTCCCCTTGAACAATATCGGGGTACTCAGCGAGATGTGTTCAAGACAGCAAACACAGCTTAATGTTTTAGAAACAATCGCCATCAACGACTCATTGCTCTCTGACAGTGTATTAAAATATGTTTTCCTGCTTATGTTAAGAACGCATAACGATATTATATCTTCATATGTATAGGCAGAGACCAGGCGTTTCCATGTGATAAAGTGACATTTGAGGATGCTACGTTCCGTTGGAAATTACTGTGTATATCCGCTAGGCGCCGCAAGCCCGAGCATCTAGGTGAGTATCATCAGGAGGCAGGCTGCGCTGGATTGAGCCACCACAGCGGCGGCAAGTTAGCTAAACTTAGCCATTTTTACCTCGGAAGTGTATTCATTTGTCTTTAAAAAGAAAAGCAAGGTATTTCAGTTTTAGCAGCAGCACCGAGATCCTCCCTGTAGCAGTGGCAGCCTGTGGTACTCTGTAGCAGCCTGTGGTACTCTGTGGTACTCTGTAACAGCCTGTGGTACTCTGTGGTACTCTGTAACAGCCTGTGGTACTCTGTGGTACTCTGTGGTACTCTGTGGCAGCCTGTGGTACTCTGTGGTACTCTGTAACAGCCTGTGGTACTCTGTGGTACTCTGTAGCAGCCTGTGGTACTCTGTGGTACTCTGTAGTAGCCTGTGGTACTCTGTGGCAGCCTGTGGTACTCTGTGGCAGCTAGAGGCAGCCTGTAGTACTCTGTGGCAGCCTGCGGGACTCTGTGGCAGCTAGAGGCAGCCTATGGTACTCTGTGGCAGCCTGCGGGACTCTGTGGCGGCCTGTGGTACTCTGTGGCAGCCTGTGGTACTCTGTGGCAGCCTGTGGTACTCTGTGGCAGCCTGTGGTACTCTGTGGCAGCCTGTGGTACTCTGTGGTACTCTGTAGCAGCCTGTGGTACTCTGTGGTACTCTGTGGTACTCTGTAACAGCCTGTGGTACTCTGTGGCAGCCTGTGGTACTCTGTGGCAGCCTGTGGTACTCTGTGGTACTCTGTAGCAGCCTGTGGTACTCTGTGGTACTCTGTAGTAGCCTGTGGTACTCTGTGGCAGCCTGTGGTACTCTGTGGCAGCTAGAGGCAGCCTGTAGTACTCTGTGGCAGCCTGCGGGACTCTGTGGCGGCCTGTGGTACTCTGTGGCAGCCTGTGGTACTCTGTGGCAGCTAGAGGCAGCCTATGGTACTCTGTGGCAGCCTGCGGGACTCTGTGGCAGCTAGAGGCAGCCTATGGTACTCTGTGGCAGCCTGCGGGACTCTGTGGCAGCTAGAGGCAGCCTATGGTACTCTGTGGCAGCCTGCGGGACTCTGTGGCGGCCTGTGGTACTCTGTGGCAGCCTGTGGTACTCTGTGGCAGCCTGTGGTACTCTGTGGCAGCCTGTGGTACTCTGTGGCAGCCTGCGGGACTCTGTGGCAGCCTGCGGTACTCTGTGGCAGCCTGTGGTACTCTGTGGCAGCCTATGGTACTCTGTGGCAGCCTGCGGGACTCTGTGGCGGCCTGTGGTACTCTGTGGCAGCCTGTGGTACTCTGTGGCAGCCTGTGGTACTCTGTGGCAGCCTGTGGTACTCTGTGGCAGCCTGTGGTACTCTGTGGCAGCCTGTGGTACTCTGTGGCGGCCTGTGGTACTCTGTGGCAGCCTGTGGTACTCTGTGGCAGCCTGCGGGACTCTGTGGCAGCCTATGGTACTCTGTGGCGGCCTGTGGTACTCTGTGGCAGCCTGTGGTACTCTGTGGCAGCCTGTGGTACTCTGTGGCAGCTAGAGGCAGCCTATGGTACTCTGTGGCAGCCTGCGGGACTCTGTGGCAGCCTGTGGTACTCTGTGGTAACGTTACTCTGTAGCAGCCTATGGTACTCTGTGGCAGCTAGTGGCAGCCTGTGGTACTCTGTGGCAGCTAGTGGCAGCCTGTAGTACTCTGTGGCAGCCTGTGGTACTCTCTGGTACACTGTGGCAGCCTGTAGTACTCTGTGGCAGCTAGTGGCAGCGTGTGGTACTCTGTGTAAATGTTCCCTACTTGTATAGCGCCTTTCTAGTCTAGCGCTTTTACACTACATCTGCATTCACCAGTCATACACATTCATACACTGAGCCTAAGTGCTCAAACGGAAACTAACATTCATTTGCTCAAGGCCTTTGACACGCTGTGGCTCAGGAGGTAGAGCGGGTTGGCCGTTAATTGGAAGGTCTACTCATTGATCAACATTAGACTATGGTAGAATCCAAATGACAAAAAATATGTATTATTTATATGCACTATCTAGCATGGCAGATGGATTTGATATTATTTGGTATCAAGATTTTCAGATACCTCACTCTGAGATTTTTGCAGTCACTCCTGTTTTCACAAGAAGTACTTTTAACAGAGTAGATAGTCCTTTCAAAATCTCAATATCCTGAATTTTTGTGTTTCCTGGAAAACACATTACTGTTGACTCAAATGTAGAGAAAATAATCTCACAGTGTTCATTTAGTAGCTGTTCTGGAGCTTTTGATCATATCACATGATCATCATCAGCAGATGGAGTTTGTCCAGTTATGGAATTATAGATGATAACATTTAAATTTTCTTGTGACCTTGTGATTTTGTAATTTGGGTGAACTGACCCTTTAATATGTCAGAGATGTCAAGCAGCGTCTGTTCTCAAGTATACCCACGTATAGTAGAAAGGGAATAATGTTCCATGAAGTAATGAAATCACATGATGTAAACTGGAAATAGACAATGCATTTTTAATGATTTATTTTAATGTTTTATTTTTTATAACAAAAGCTTATTTTGAAATTTTTAACGGAAGTTGTATACTTTTGTGTGACGCTTGCCGCTGGGTCGATGTAGCTGCTTTCTTTGCAAAGGAATGTCACTTCTTTATCTCTGTTGGGATGGAAGTCTGACAGATGTTTTGAGAAAAAGATGCCGGGACTGCAGTTCCTTATTTTATTAAATAACCGTGAGTATTTGTAGCTGACACCATCCGGGAGCGAACATCCAGTCTAGCTGACGTTTAATGTCACTGAGCGTAGAGGGGGAAAGCTAACGTTAAGCTAATGTCGGCTGGATAGCTAACCGTGAACTAGCTAAACCAGAGTTAAAGGATAACGTTACCTTTTAGCCAGGGTTGGTAACACACCGGGCTGTGTCATCACTGTTTGAAGCCTGTGTCGACTTTGACATACCCTTTACAATATTATGTGTTAACATTTTTAAGTGTAATTTTATCAAAAATGCTGTACACCCCTCTCTGAACCAAGCTAACAGCCTGGGCAGTTAACGTTAATGCTAGGTGGAAAACATTAAAGGAAACATTTCAACCCCCTCAAAATTTGATTCACTGTGTTTATTATTACACTATTACACAGTTCGCCTTTAATTTTGAGCTAGTCTCTCAAACAGGGGGCAGATTCAGAAGCTGATCTTGAAATTGAATAATGTAATACCTCCTGGGACACTGGGACAGCTGCCATTAACATATACAGAGACATGGTCTGATACATTGCTGTAAGACCTTCTTTCATGTATCAACATTTCCCCTATAAATCTATGAATTGGCTACTAATTAGTTTTCAATGCACCTACTGCAAAAAGTGTCATTTGACCACATTTTCAAATCTAGCCCCAGTTTGTGCCTTTTATGTATTGGAATTGCTTTCGAGTCACGGAGGGAAGCATCTAAAAAAATTCCCTGGGTCCCTGTACAATAAAAACATTTGCACCCGTTTACCAAATTGTGATGATATTTCTTATAGCCAGAAATTACAGGATATGTCCTTGTTTGTTCTGTGGGCAAGAAAAATATAAAATGTCGATCACCATTTCCCAGAGCCACAGGTGACATCTCCCAATGCATTGTTTTGAAGATAGCTATTCATTACTTGAACAATTAACTCATTTTCACAATTGTTGCTGGTTAATTTTTTTTTTTGTCGATAGACTAATCGACTCATTGTTTTAGCTGTAATACAATAATATGGACAAATATAACTGATGATAAAATGTTTGAATCTTCTTTCACATTGTTTTCAGGTTTTGCAAACATGTAGCATTTCTGGCTACCGTCTTTTTGTGCGTTAGGAAACCGTGGCACCATTTGGCCTGCATTTTTATCACCTTGAAAGAGAACAGTAGACAATTACAAACCATAACTTTGGTATCCCTTTGTTTGTTTCACAGATGATTCTCAAAACAACATGGTAGTTACCTCCACCTCTGACTGGCGAGCAAGAAAATCTGGTCAGATTTAAGAGAACCACTGCTAAATTCAGAGTCAGTATTTAGTCATTTGGCATCATATTTGCTTCGAAGCATGGGCCCTTAACTTCCACTGTCATCAGGAGACGCTGTTACACATTTCCTTCACGTGTTGTTTGACAAATTGTCAGGGTACTGCCGTGTGTTCGTGTGCAAGCTTGTGAAGCTTTGTCAAGATGTTTTCAGCACTTAAGAAGCTGGTGGGATCTGAGCCAGGGCAGCTCAGGGACAAGAACATCCCAGCTGGCCTGCAGTCGATGAACCAAAGTTTGCAACGACGCTTCGCCAAGGGGGTGCAGTATAATAGTAAGTAATGCAGCCAATCAGGTGAATAGGCTTCTGTAGTCAAATATGTCCCATTCAGTAATACAGTTTTTTCACCAACTTAATTTACAATCTCTTTCCCACTCAAGTGAAAATAGTAATCCGGGGTGATAGAAACACTGGAAAGAGCACTTTATGGCATCGACTACAAGGCAAGAAGTTTGTGGAGGAGTACCTGCCCACCCAGGAGATCCAAGCCACAAGTATCCATTGGAATTACAAAAGTAAGTCTAGCCATGGAACATTACAGCTTATTTTATCTAATCACCACTGCTTTGGTTATGTTTCTATTTTGGTGAATATTTGACATCTGTTGTTTGTGCCGTGGTGATTTATTTCAGTGGCTCCATATCAAGGTAAAAAAAAGAGACTGTTAATTTAGATTTAGCTTCAGCTAACCAATTTTTAGAGTAGGTGTCCTGTGTTTGTGTCGTTCCATACCAAGCAAACCTTTTTCCACTGCTGCTTCTTCTAGTGTTTTAGTACTGGATCCATATTAGAGTCCCAGCCTGTACATTTGAGTTACTCTTCTCTGGGGCCCAACAACATGAATAATGAAAACACTCTTTCTGTTTCAGCTACTGATGACGTGGTCAAGGTAGAGGTGTGGGATGTGGTAGACAAAGGTGAGTGTTGACATACATGCCAGTTAAAGAACCAGACTTTTTACTGTAACTAACCTCGCTATAAGAAGTTACCTTTTTCTATGTACTGCAGTCAAGCTGCTATAGTATTTCATGACATCAAATAGACGCATGGTTGCTTGTTTTTCTGTCCTCATTGTTGATGTTGTCTCTTTTGCACCTCTCTCACACTCATCTCAGGCCAAAAATATCCTCTTCCTGAAGGTGTAGGTGAGCACCACTATAGTGTGTAGAAGTTGAACTCGCTTCTGTGCCGTGGGTTTGCCCAGCCTTGTTCTACTCTTATCTGAATGTCAATATTCTCAAGGTTTGCTGCGTGGCTACATTTCAGAGTTTGGCTGAGTTTTCTGCTGTGTGTAGCTAGTGTCTGAGCACCTGCACCGTGTGAGCCATGACTTAATGGCTCTTTAAAAGATAGTGGGTTAAAATGAGGCTTTTCCATAAGAAAAGCGGCTGTCCTGCTCTGCTTGCTTTACTTATCATAAACTAACGTAAAGCAGCAAACTGAACTGTAGATTGAGTTTTTTCCTTTTTTAACTTGTAACACTTTTCTTCTTTTCTTTTTCTTTCAGGCAAAGGCAAAAGGCGTGGAGACAATTTGAAACTGGAGAATGAGCCCCAAGAGGTGATTATCCACAATCTGACTTATTGGCAGTGATGGAATTGGCCAGATATCTTACAGAGTGTAAATGATTGAAAATCTAAGTTGTCAAAATATAAGTATTGTGTCCTATGTTGTGATTAATATATATATTTCTAATATGAATATATTTGCGTGTTGTAGTCAGATGAGGTGGCCCTGGATGCAGAGTTCCTGGATGTGTACAAGAACTGTAATGGAGTCATCATGATGTTTGACATTACCAAGCAGTGGTAAGAGCCAACTGTTGTCCTAACACTGTCTCATCATTGAACTCTGATGCTACAATATGCATGGACAGATTAGGTTTCAGTCAGTCTGCATGTGGCTGTGAAGCTGAGAGTTTCCACTGGTGGATTTTGTTCAGCTTCAAAGGCAAAAACCTTCAAAGACATTTTAAAATTCCTATTTTAGGCCATCGTGTCTGTGGGAATTTATCTTTTAATACTAACATGTCTTGCCACAAGGGAAATAATGCACTAATACATTTTGAAACATTTTTCTAGTTCAGCACATACAGTAAATAGGCCCAACTAAATATTGTGCAATACCTTTGCTGATATACCTTCCTGAAACATTGTTTTGTTTTTTGTAATAACTCAGAATTGCAGTAACCTGTACATTGGTACTGTTTATTTTTTATATACTAATGCCCTGCTTCAATCTCATGTGTTGCTTTTGCCCATGCCGGCTCTGCCACTGCAGCATGTTGACTGCTGTCTCCCTCCCCTCCTACATCTTTCTCTTCATTAGCTACAGCTTTCGCTTCCTAGCCCGCTCTTGCTGCTTCAGCAGCCATAGCAACACAGGTTGATGCCTCCTCAGCATGAGTCCTTTTGAGTCTTTGAAAATATTTTTCAATATTTACCTGGATTTAGGGAGCAGACATTCCGCGTCAGAGTTATAGAATTAACATTAACATTATCCATTTGCACGAGCAGTCGATATTGACGAGCAGCTATTTGCAACGTGCTAACCTCCACTTCCCAGCTCATTAGTGTGGACGGAGAGGAGGGGCTGTTCAGACTGGTCCATTTGAGAGCGGGACGAGGAGGTGCTGACCAAATCAATGTGCTGTGCACCACTTTACAAACAAATAAGATTTTAGCCATTTTAAATAGTAAAAAAGAAAACAAATATGTGGCGGTCAGTGTTGATATTGTGGCGGGCCACCACAAATAAATCAATGAATCTGAAACACTGCCTTGATCCTCTTACATAAATTATAAGCAACAAGAAGTGTCATGCCAACTAATATGCAGAATGCTTTAAATGCCATTGAACTGAACCTTCATTTTTATTAGTCTAAGCTTCCTTAAGTTTACTTCATCCAACCACAGATCAGTCTCGTAATGATGCGTATGATTTTGTCAATTGCAGGACTTTTAGCTACATCCTGAGGGAACTGCCCAAAGTACCCACCCATGTGCCTGTGTGTGTGTTGGGAAACCACAGGGACATGGGCGAGCATCGTGTCATCCTCCCTGATGATATAAGAGACCTGATTGCTGGACTTAACAGGTAAAGAGCAAATGTTAGGAAACAAAACCTCTCACTGCGATGGTTAATGTGGAAATTATTGTATTTAAAGGTCATTCCACAGACCTAGAATAGCTGTGGAATTTGATTTAAAGGTGGATTGTGATTTTGAAAGTGATCATGTAGAAGTCTCATAAAGGCTACACATTTCAGTACATGATGATTCTACAGCGCCCTCCTATAGGCTGCGTCAGCAAATGACAAGACTGCATTACACCATGTCATGAAGTGTGCACAGTCAGGGGTGGTGGAAGTGAGAGTGGAAGAATAACACGATTGAAGAAAATGTTTTGGAGGAACAACAAAAATGAGAACTAATTGAGTCAGACTCAGAGAAACCTCTCTGATAGTGAAGAAGAGGAAATACATGCATCCAGCCCTAACTCAAGAAAAAGCAGCTCACGGTCTATGTGATCCTTGATGAGGTTTCCTCAACTTCATTTATTCTGTCAACTTAATGGCTTGATCATCTTCATGTTTTTGTCCTTATCCACTCAATACTCTTTCATACACAGTACAACAAATCAATCATTTGTGTTTTAGATCACAAACAAATATTTTATTTCATTCAATCACAATGTAATGTAAAAAATGGTCACAGTAGTTCCCAACCAATTTACAAAGCTTTTTAGTCTCTCTTAGCCAGTTGCCCACTAACTCCGCTGTCGTCAACCTTTTTACTAGTAAAAAGATTTAAAAATGCACCAAACAGCAGACAGACAAAGTTAGATACCAGCTGGTAAACCCCCAGAGGCCTGTACTATGAAGCCATGGGTTTTCAGTCCTATGGTGGTGGTTCACTTCTACTACATCATTGCCATGGTAATGTATGATGAACAGCTAACCTACTCCGGAGCAGTTTATGTTCAAGATAATGGATCAACACTATAAAAACACCACCTACTGACCAATCAGTTCTCCTGGAAAATGGCATCAGCATTCGTAGAAGATCCCACAATGTTACCGCTTTGAAATGTGTTTTTTTTTATATTTATTTTTTATTTGCTCCCAAGTCTGTTTCACACATCTTGCTGCGGACGTTAAAAGAAGTTTCATTTTTCTTTTTATGTGAAGCAAATATTATAAGCATATATTTTGATATTCAAGCTAAGTTTAAGGTGAATTTGTTTATATTAACTGTAGTGTTGCATATGTTTCTTATTATAGAGACTGGTCATGTAGAGCCCACCTTTCACTATTTGTGTGCAGGTAATGTGGTGAGTTTTCAGGGATGGTTGAGATAAGGTCTTTCCACCACTGTTTGAACACTTTAATGGCACGAAAGGATTTTTAATTTCGTTGATTTATGAAGTTAATTTAGAAGAATTTTTTAAACAGTTTAGAGTGCGTTTAATAAATTAGATTTTTGAAGTGATGTTGAAAGTGAGTTGAGCTACTTGTTCAGTGTATGCAGCTTTGGAAACAAGACACAGTTGTCACACACGCCATAAAAATACATTAAAGCTACACATTCATATTATACGCTTGTGAACTTATGCATTCACACAGGGGATTTTCTGTCTGTAGACACAAAAACGTCTTCTAATGAATGGTAATGTTGCTCAGTATCTCCTGGATGTGTAACAATACAATTATTAAATTAAATAATGATATGTAAGATGTTGTTTTCAAAGCTTGTTCTGCTGCCCCCAAGTGGTCTAAAAATGCATTTATGCAGCTTTAACAGGTTTACAATCTTAACCTTGATAGAATACGGATTACTAGGGACATAGAAATATACTGCATACTGTTGGAAATTGTCATGAAAGATAACTAGTAATATTTGTGTTTCATAGACCAATGGGATCATCTTACATCCACTATGCTGAGTCCTCAATGAAGAATGGGTTTGGCTTGAAATATCTACACAGGTTTTTCAACATCCCCTTCCTGCAGCTGCAGGTCAGTTTTTACCCCTCATTTGTCATCATTAGTGTTATTTTATTTTAATTTAGTCTTTCAATCCTTTACTGGTTAACAGGATTTTAACTTATGTGGAGAAAATAGGATTGCTGTATTGTTTAGGCTATGTGACGTATCATTCATGTCAAGGTTGTGTGTGTATGTGTGTGCAGAGAGAGACACTCTTGAGGCAGCTGGAGACCAACCAGCTGGACATGGATGCCACCTTGGAGGAGCTTTCTGTCCAGCAGGAGACTGAGGATCAAAACTATGAGATGTACTGTCTACTATATTCTCTCTGCCAGTGTATGGTTGTAAAGATCCCCTAGAGGGACACAATTTTTTATTCCATAAGTTTTTGGTGCACACCAGATGTGTGCACGTGACACTGGTGAGCATCCAAAACTTGAAAACAGGTTTTTGCACATTGTCCTCTCAGGGGCTCTGTAGTGCTGAGACTGGAAACACAGTACGCACTATAGACTATAACTGTCCAGCAATTATTCAGCTGTTGAATTTTACGCTGATTTCTAAAATGTCTTGCCGTTGGGTACTTTTCATTCAGCTAAGCTCTTATTCTTATTGTAAAAATAAAGATTGAAGATAATGTTTTTATAATTTATTGTTCTTGACTCTGAGCTAATTTTGGCTATATGTTGTCAGAAGACAAAACAATTCAAACATGTAAAGGTGGTAGTGGATAGAGTTACATGTCCTTAGAAGTATATATGCACATTTGTCTGGGCAGTAAATGCTGAGTCTACAAAATAATGACGCTAACAGAGAAAAGGTGTTGTCATTGGTTCTTCTGGAAAACAAAAGTGGTTTTCCGCAGCTAATATGCTTCTTTTTTTTTTTTTGAGTGATTAACTAGTTTATAGCACAGGACGATGTCAAGACATTTGATTCATGATGACTTTTACTGAATCATAGTTTATTAACCATCACTGTTGTCATTTCTGCAGTTTCCTGGAGAACTTGGAGTCTCGCGGTAAAGGCTATGGCTCACCTGGTCCAGCCAACGGTCAGAGTCCCTCCTCGGGCTCCCAGTCCCCCATTGTCCCTCCCAGTGGGGCTTCCACAGGCAGCTCCAGCCCAAGCACCCCTCAGGCCCCCATTCCCTCCCAGGTGCTTCCACAGTCACCGTCTGTGTCCGCTTCTTCCCCTCCACCTCCCTCGACAGTGGTTAGTGTCACAGCTTCACCTACTGTTGAGTCAAAGCCATCGGCCCAGTCTCCCGAACACCTTCAGTCCTCAGCTGCGGGGGCGTCAGCCCCCCAGAAACGCAGCTTCATGTCCCGCTGGTTTGGTTCATCTCCTGCTCCTGAGGCTTCTGCATCTGGACCAGGTGAGATAACTCAACATTCTACAGATTACTGGTGCAGTAAAAGGTTCTAAACCAGTCCAGATGACACCTCCTCTGCAGTTGTGTGCACAATGACCCTTGATTCTTATCAAAAGACACCAAAAAAAACTTTTAAAGTAACATTATGTAGCATTTTTATCTCAAACGACTTCAAACCCATTTTGATGGGTAAGTGACATCACAGGGTGAGTGACATCACAGGGTGAGTGACATCACTATCATTGGCGCTCCAGGCCGTGGAAGCTTTCAATGGCGCTATGTAAGATTGAAATCCTGGGCAGGATTTATATCACAAGAACAAACAAAACTCTCAGCAAGCTAGCTATGAGAAGAAGCAAAAAGTAGTAGTAGTGTACAATGTAAGTTCTTTGGTAGAAGCTAGCTCGGTATTCTCAGTATAGATATCATGGCAGTGGCTGCAAAGAGACGGAAGAAGATGTTGGAGGAAGGCCGAGCTTGCCTTCATGCTGTTGGACTAGTAAGTAATAAATTATGAGCTTGCTGTGTCGTGTGTTGTTGCGCTTGCTTGACGTTCGGCTGTGTTAGCGCAGTTGTTGAAATCAACCAGAGGTTTCACAGACAGAGGTTTAGGCACTAGCTCTAAATCTCAAGTTGATGTTAGCAAACTTGTTAGATAACACACTCAGGCATCAGTAAGGTTGCTGTAAGTGCTCTTACAGCGGCTACCTAGCCTTGGTGGCTACCTTCCCGTCCAAGTTTGAAGCAACATCATGCTGTGCCAGTGTCGTGCCGGAGCCTGGCGAGCCGGCAACTTACCGGGGCTCAGCAACCTCTTTGGATATTGCATTAGCTAATAGCAGAGGCATAGAGACCCAAGAGGGCATTGACCAAGGAAGCTAAGAAGAGACAAAGAGAGTGACCAAGCAAGAGGCTCACAGATGTTGCGAGACTTTCGTGAAATACAAGACTGCAAGACAAATGCTGAGCTAGCCTTTTTTTCTGTGTACACAGTTGTACTAGTAAGTAATGTTAACATGTCTTGTGTTGTCACACTTGCTTGATGTTTGGCAGTGTTAATGACTTTCTAGTTTTTGATCATATTGTAATCATAACAAATGCATATGTACAGCTGACCTTATTCACGGCCGCGGTGAATTATACTCTGCCAGGACAGACAGAAATGCATGTGATTGCAGTGGTGCAACTGGGGCAAGAACCATACAGAGGTCTTAACTAGGGCTGGGCGATATGGCCAAAAATGTTATCACGATAAAAGCATTGCATACCATTTGAGATAGATAGTTATCACAATAAATGTCAAAGCATTATTTCCTTAAATAATTTGAGCTTATAGGCTGATTTTTGCTCCTGAGTGAAAATTGAAGAAACCAGATGGTTAATTGTGTGGTCAAACAGTGGATCACTTCACAAATCTGAGGTAGATCATTCAAAACAATTATCTTTTTTTCAACTGATATGATCAGTAAATATTTTTTCAGTCCCTTTTCCTCAACAAAATAAATATCTTAGTAGAAAAATGAAGTGCTAATTTGTTTGTGATTTCAGTCAAACATATATTGACAATTTGTTGTATTGTTATTGAGGAAAATTATATTGCGATAATTATCATTGTTTTAATGCCCAGCCCTAGTCTTAACTCAGCTTGTATCTGTTGTAAATACACAGTTAATTGAGCTCTTTAGGGGGTCGGGTTAAAGATAAACATAATGGCTCCGGAAATATATTTTTTTGTAAATGTAAAAATATATAGCTCAAACAAATGTAGCCAAGACAACGGTACCTCTACAGTATAAATGATGTCTGACTGTGATTAACTTATGTAATTAATCATATTTAAATATAGTTATTTAGCCTCTTTCAGACTTTGTTACATAAATGCGATGGCAATTGTGTCTGTCTGTTTAACTCCTGAATAAGCAAGTCACTTTTATGTAAAAGTGATGATGGCAATCTTACTAGGTCAGACCTAGTGGGTGTGCAAAACCCTTTGTACTTTTTAAGCTTTGGTTGGACACATCCCAGCTCTCTTTTTTATTTTTGGTTGAGTTCCTCTGATTGGATAGTGCTTACTATTTCACCATTCACGGTTCTCCAGCAGTGACAGCACTCTTGTTCATTCTTTTCTGAATGAAGCTATAAAGAACATTAATGTAATAGCCCCACTGTGTCAGAATTACAAAGATTCATCACTTTTATCAGATCGATCAAGCCAGAAATGTTAGGTTTTCCATCTGAAGAATTATAATATATCATTAATAAAGAAATAATAATAATTATGTTTAACAGATATTTAAGTCTTTCATTGAGAGAATTTTTAATTAATGTAATTTAATTTATAATTCATCATCTCCTTGTGACAGTTCTCACATGTTAATGATGTTTGAAATTTTAACAATGTATCACAGCGTGAGATCTGAAATACTGCTGAAAGTCTGTTTTGGAGAACATACATTGTGGTGAGACAATGCTGTAATGGCGGTATTCATTTTACCTCCTACATGATTTAGCATGACTCAGCCAGTCGGAAAGACTTTCTTCTAAAGCAGTTTGGGGTTAGACAGTAGCTATTGTTGGTTTTCTGATCACTATTGTGAATAGTAAACTTTATTTTCAGATCAGACTGGATTATTCATAACTTAAACGTAGTAAGTGCATAGTAAGTAGTCACAAGATTCAAGGCTTAGTCGTTGAGAAATGCAGAGCTTTTAAAGTGGTCAAAGGACCGGCTGGTGTTGGAATGTCATGTGATTTCACTGTTTCACTGAGTTCTTGTGTGATTACGGAAGCAACACAAGGCAGTGCTGTGATGGCAGCTTTTTAACGTTAGAGTGTTGATTTGAATAAAGTTAATTTATTTGATTGTTACTCACATAAATTGGGCTCCATGTTTTCCCCAGAGGACCCGCCTGCATCAGTGTGTCCTGCTAAGGTTCAGAGTGTGGATGATTTTGTGCCAGATGAGAGACTGGATAAAAGCTTCCTGGAGGACAGCCTGCCCTCCAAGACCAAGGTCCCTGCGCCTGCTCTGGCTGTGGACAGCGACAGGTATGATGTTTACGAGCACTTTTCAGTTAGCTTGTTAATCCTTTGGGACAAGGTTAGTATTTGTTGATGTCCTACATTTGATCTTTTTTACACTTTGAAAGTATTATGCATATGTATATTTTATGTTACTGAGGTTCTGGTTTTGACCGTCCCAGTTGTTCCTGTAGAGCTGCATGGTAGCCCACAATAGTAGCCCTCTCTCAAGGAGTAACGGTAAAAGGACAGTTTTTCTGTTCTTTCTCTGTCCCAGTGATGGTGAAGACAGAGGAAACCCCATGGTGTCTGGCTTCCAGGATGAGCTCGATCCTGACGACACAGAGCCCAGTCTTCCCCAACGAAGACTCTGCCCCTCAGTAAAGATATCACTCTGACCAGTGACGAGGAGGAGGGAGTACCAGCAGGCCCCACTATAACACAGGACCAAGACCTGGACAGTGAACCTGAGCTGAAAACGTAAGTGCTTTCTCAGAACGACATGGCCTTAAACTCCCAGAATTGAGCAGAATCTAAAATAAATACATGTTGTGGTGTTGAGGGTTGATGTGCATGTTGGCAACCTGGCCGGTCTGTTATAGTAAGGCAAAGTAAGTTAACCGACCACGGGGTTATTATTGTGTAACATCAACCACAAAGCATCAGCTTTTCTTGCTTTTTTTCCAGGTTTGCTACGCAGTATGGAAAAGTATGAAATCTGATTTTAATCATTTCCAGGTCTGAATAAGTACGGAAAAAATAACAAAGTGAAGAAACATTTTAGTGTTTCCAGACTATTGCCCTTATTTTGTTTTCTAATACATATCTGTCGTGGAAATTGTATATTGCTGGTGAGGGATTAAACAATAATTGAGTAACTGCAAACCGTTGTCTTTTAAGAATTTATTAATAAAAAAAAAGAATAAGTACTACAACTTTAATCAGCTGGGCCAGAGACTCTGTCTCCTAGGACAGTCACTAATGCCTGGCGCCGAGTAAAGGGATGCATAATCATTTACACAGTCTAAGTTTCTATGTTTTGCGGAACAGTGATCATCTCCCGGCCTTGAATGAACATTTGAGGAGAGGAACAATCTCACAGCTCTGACCGAAACCCTATCTGTATAAAAGGGAGAGAGCGAGAGAGAGAATACATTTTAACTGTTTACCTGTTGGATATTAAATATGACCTGCCAAGAAGGAAATTTGAGTCTTTTTTTATACTATACATTGGCGCAATGGATAAGACTGTGCCTTTGGTGTGAGAGACCCGGGTTCTATCCCCCACTGTGACCCATCTACCATTGTGTCCCTGAGCAACATTTAACCCCTCGTTGCTCCAGAGGCATGCGACCTCTGACATGTATAGCAATTGTAAGTCGCTTTGGATAAAAGCGTCAGCTAAATGACTAAATGTAAATGTAAAATATAAACACATCTTCCATATCACTCTGTTTAAGGCCTGTGATCCACATCACAAAACCAAAGGTCCCATCTAAAGCTCCAGAGCCCAGAGGCCAGACCGCAGCACCCATCTCACTCACTTTAACTCCAGCAGCAGAGCAGCCGGCCCGACACCAAGGCAAGAAGAAGGGAAGCACACCCAAAGCTGATGACTCTGATACAGACCATGAGGCCCCTGTAGCCCAGCAAATGCTCTCGTTTGTCATGGATGACCCCGACTTTGAGTCTGAAGCGTCAGACACACCAAAAATAGTGAAGGTAAAGTAGAAAAGATTTACCATCCCAGCAGGTTAACTCAGTTCATAGCTCTTTTTACCGCTGAAAGCCTGAGCTTTTAACGGAATTGTTGGAGTTGAGTCTGGTATTTTTTGTCATTCAGTCAAATTCACATCATGATACAAATCAGACAGTATACTGACATACTGACATATTTGAATTTTAATTGCACTTCTGTCACACTGCCATGTGTAAGCCTGTATTTTTCTCCGTCTTTTTTTTGGAAAAATCTAAACATTTGTTTTTGGTTGCCATGTTCTTCCCAGGATCCATTTCCAGTCAGAGATGAGCTTCTGTCTGACCTCTCTGATGATGACCTGCAGTTAGCCAAGGTGCCAGAACCTCTGAAGCCCACTGTGATCTCTTTTAAACACAAGGACGTTACCGACCTGTTTGGCCTCGGCATCCAAGAAGAGGCTCCCGCAGCCAAGGACAGCAGCGAGGAGCAGGAAGGCAAGTCATGAAATATCTACTGGGTCTTTCTAACTTAGAATTCACACTGAGCTTGCTGCTATTATTCTGATTAACTTAACTTTACTGACTAACTTAACATTATATCTGCGTCTCTGAGTTAGTGAGAATCTTTGGGAATCGCACCATTTGATTTGGATTCAGATCGGTGTTGTCGTGTCTTGGTGTCACAATTCTCGATTCAGAATTGATTCTCGATTTTAAATTGATTCTTGATTCAACAAATAGAAAAGCTGGCGCTGTTTTCAGCTAACTGGTGTTGATGAAGGTCACCGTCTGACCGAACAGGGACAAAAGCAGAGGGAAGTGTGTGGGAGCACGCAGCTTTTGTGAAAAAAAAGTTCATTTTTAAACATGTTCTTGTCTGTATGAGAAAAACTGAAGCGAAAGTCTAAGTTTCTGGCCCCCACCACTGGCTAAATATCTTTTTTAGAACCAGAAGTTGGTCTCCTTGTTCTGGACTAACGGGAATGACAAACAAAAGTGCCCCACCCTCTCTGCCTCAACCGTAGTACAACCCATCTACCACGCTGTCATCTTTTGAAATCAAATACGATATGTACCGAATTCTTTTCACAATTTCCACTTCACTAACATTAGTCTCTGAGTGTTGGGGTACAAAATAATCTCAAAATACTTAACTCATGTCTTTCAAAACTAATTACTAATTTATTAAATCTAAAAGGCACCCAAGCACTTGCCTTCTTTGAAGATAAACTGTAGATAACTCTAGCGTGTCCGGATGCATCACTGTGCTCTACTCCTTTTTCATTCCCTCAGAATATTATTAACGTCATACAACCATCTACTTTTGGAATCTGAATGGCGCCTTATTATTTACCAGTTTATTCCAGTCCCAGTCTAGACCTCTCACAGTGGTGATCATTATAGATACCCTATTATAAATAGGGTAGCATTACTTGGTTTTTCCACAAATAAAATGACAAATTCTGTCATCTAGACCAAAAAACCGTGAAAGGTCTGTGTTCTTGCCTTAGCCTCATGCCCCCAAAGTACAAGACAACATCACGCTCACTCAAGGAAATTATAATTACCCAGGTATTACATGCTGTCTTTGGTGGGCATCCAGAATTAATAGAACCATAGTCGCATATATAGTTACATATCAAAATGACATTGGGAGTGTGAGACCTGGATGTGAATATTTTGAATATTTTGTGGTTTTAATCACTGAATGTTTAATGACATGTAACATTTCTCCTTTATAATGTTTTAGTCAAATGGTTAATAAAAATCTGCCTTTTCTCCTCTTCGAAAGATTGTTATTTTTAGATTAAAAAGACTTGATTTGAACATATTTAAAATGAGATTAATCTTATCAGCTACTGACCACTTCAATCATGCACCACCGTAAGACTACTATATGTATCTGCTCCTCTTTCAGAGAAAGAAAGCAAACACTCCTCCAAAGACAAGAAGAAAAAGAAGAAGAAAAGCAAAGAGGTAAAATCATTGTTGTTCACATTACATACTGTAATTAGTAATATGCCTAAAAAACTGTAATATCAATACAAAATATTGTGTCCTTCCATTTTACAGGAGGATGAAAAGAGCAAGAAGAAACACAAAAACAAGAAAAAGGAAAAAGACGAAGCTGCAGCAGTAGATGAAAAAAAGAAAAAGAAATCCCGGACCAAGAAAACAGAAGTGGACGAGTTGGAGGACTTTCTGGGCGGGGGAGCCGGATCTGTCAAAAGAGATGACGGTGATTACGAAGAACTATAAAAGCTTCTGTTTTATTAGGACACGGAGCCGCAGAACAGCAGCGAGGCGCGTGGTCGTTCAATAACCTCCTGGTTCCTTGACTTGTATGTGCATAAAGCAGCATCTCCAAGCCATACGCAATACACAAGGCTACCGACGACACCCAGGTAAAAAATAACCAAGGACTGTGGTACCTGTATGTTCCTTCTGATTGATTTTCCCATCTGCACTACTGCTGTCACTTCAATTTCAATTAATAAGACCCACATGTACTGTAGTTAAGTGTGACTTTAAAGTTGATGATCGGTGTAGCTACAAATTAGCTCTTTGTACTTTGTACTTGATTGAAAACGTTGGTTTAATACTTTAATTCTTTGATTTGATACACTCTGCAAATGATCCACTCCGAATCAGCTGCTGTAAATAGAGTTACCATTTTGTCTGAATGTTTGTTTGGTGGGTGTAATAATTGAGAGCATGCTAAAAGTGAAGATTGACTCCTTAGAGACTCCATAGTGTTGTGTCTTCTTTCTTTCCTATTTGTTGGCTAAAAGTAATACATTTAGTCTTGTGTTTCTAATTAGGAAGAGAGAGTTGATTTTAGAATTTTCACCCGTCACCAACTATGGAAATTACTTTACCCTTTTCACTCCTGGAGTACGTCCACACCAAGCCGGCTAAATCGGTTTGTTTTGGCTTCCATCCACACCTAACCAGTGTTTTTTACATGAAACCACATCTTTTCAAAAACGTTCTAAGTGGACCAGGAAAATTTAGCTTTTGGAAAACAGATGTAAACCTGCAAAGTTAAGAAGAAGTGATAACTCATTTTGATCATCTCAAAGCATCAGTATGGCTGAATACACTACACATGGGTTGTCATTAACCCGGATAGGACGCAGGTTTAACCAGCTGAGACTCAGTAGAGTAACCAGACTGTGTCTGACTCACCAGATTTAGGCTGTGCATCAGTTTTATTGTTTGCTGTTGAAAAGAGGACAAAAAAGAGGGGATAAAACACTAGCAAGTCTGAATTTGTGTGACTTTTATTATTTCTATGCCATGTTCCATGATGTTTATCCGTAGGCGTAAAGAGCGTTCTTCGCGTGCAACATGGAGCAGAGAAAGAGAAATGATGCTTTATTTTGTTTCTGGGAACCTGTACCAGGTGCGTTATACATAATGAATCATATGTTCTTATGCACACGTAAGTCTGCAGCTCACCCACACACTCGCCCTCTTTCTACTGACTGGAAAGAAAAAAAGGCAGAGCCCACCTTCACCTCTCAGTGACCATGAAAAGCCGTTATAGTGTGGACGTAGTCTTGGTGTGAAACTGATAACCGCCACCAGCCCACTGGCTTTTGTCACCCCCTAAAGCCAGGTCAGAATAGCTGGTACGAGTTACTTTCCTGCACTGTTAGCACAACTTCTCTGCTTCAGCCTGCAGGCTATGTACTGATTCTCTTCAAGTTTTCTGCAATTGCCTTATTGATGGTCACTACAAGGGAATGATGTGCCGCTGTCCTCGTGAACCATTTTTAAGTGTTCTTACTGTAAAGTGTGTTAGGTAGCTCGGCTGGGTTCAGAATGTTGTCCTTGCTTTTTATTGGTGAAACAGAATCTATATCATCTTTAAATCCTGTTATAAGATTGCAGTGTATCAGTACATTTGTTTGTCACTTGTTTTTGTTTGATTTGACAGCAAAACACCATTCTTATAAAGGAGTGTTATGAAATTATGCTAATATTTCTCTGTAAGTAACATTTCCAAGATTTTCTCATTGTGTTATCCTTATGTTATTTATTGCTTCTATTTTGTTTTGTTGCTAAATGTCAGAATTTTGTGTGATTTGTGCTGAAACAGTCCTTAACGGTCAAAAAAGTGATGCAGCTTTTTAATGGGTTACAGTTCTTCCCATTCACTTTTTCCTGTAATACATCCTCCAATGGTTTACTTCCACTGCTTTTAAGAACATGTATGTCATGATATGAACTGCTAAACTTTTCATGTGTTTATATTTTTGTCCGATGCCTGCTCATGATGGACGAGATGACGTGCAGTATCTTCCATAAATTGCATCACCAAAATGTTTCAGATAACTGAAGCATTCTTGCATCTAAGAGAAATAATGTGTATTTTTAGACATGTTTTGACAACTGACAGATTTCATACAGTTTCCATCTCCCATGCACATATGGTTAAAATCTGTTGGTTTACAAAGAAACTATGTTTGATATTCCAAAGTTGAAACTATGCAGCATTGATCCTGAATACTGTATGCTCTTTTTTTGTCTTTTGTCATGTAATTGAGGATAAATGCTGAAAGCACAGTTTCAAACCAAGCATGAGACTTAAATGTACAGCAAGAAAAGAATGTATAAAGTATATAAATAAATCTTTACATTTGAAGATGCTTTGTTCTTAAAATGATGTTCACCATGTGGAAATAATGTCACCGAAATCCTATGAAATGATGTTGACAGGAAAGATCCAGTTGGGGAAATTGTTGTAAAACTCAGCTGTCTAAGGTAATAACATTTCTGAGAATGGATATGCACTTTGTGCTTTGGGTATTTCCTTTCCAAATGGATGTATAGACATTTTTGGAATGAACTTCTTCATTTATTTTTCACCCCATGACATGTTCCATCTTTACATTATGTGAGTTTGCCTATGTTTGGTTTGTCCAATAAATGCAAACTTATTTCTTGATAAAGAACATTTCTTGTCTTTAAAAAAAAAGAATTTCACCATTTAAAACAATTTTCACCTTGGGAATTCTGTGTATGTACCTTGCAGAACTACTTTACTGAACAGGACAGATGGGCACTCCTGTGTGATTTTTTTAATTAAGTATTTTAATTGTAGCTCACAGAAAGATACTGGCTGATCCCAGTGCTCTGCTCACAGTTATATCATCATAAGCTCATCTGCCCTCTAAAAAAGAAAAGAGAAGGATGTTACACTAGTTGCTCTAAAGTTATCCATGATGTTCTTTTTTAAAAATTAAAAAAAAATTATTTTGTTGCATGGAAAATGCAACTTACTAATGCATTTTGTTGTTGCGTGAAAGAAATCATTTGCAATTGTCCAATATATGCTGTCTTTTACCTCTGTTTTGGACTCAAACATCATCTGGCTCTTAAGCTGCTTAATGTTCCACTTTGTTCACAAGCTAATCGCTAACTTTGAACTCTTTTGATACACCCCCTTCCTTCAGTGCTCCCTCAGAAGCTGC